CAGGACGACCTGCCGGCAGCCCCCCCCGCCCCCCCGCCCCTTGTCTCCTCGGCAACTTTCATTCTTTGCATAGGGTTGGGCAATTTGCTCAGTTCTACCTCAGGCAACTTCTCTACAATCAGACTGGGCAGCTTTCTCAATTTCAAGTTAAGCAACACACACACAGTAAGCAGGCACCAGTATCTTAAAGTCTTTTAATTTCTCCATTGCTGATTTAGCCTTTTAAATATGATACGCAACAACATCAACTGATGATAAAAAACTTAATAGCCTGGAGTTACACCTCCAATAAGAAGCCTGTACTCCCGCTCTCTGGGAACAAAGAGGGTGATGGGAATTCTGCTCAGCTACCATTTCCAACCTAATGTCTGCAACTCCATTTTTAGAACACCTCTGTAACACCTAGTATGTCATAAATAGTATGTAGCTGTTGACAGAAGAGATGTTTTTGTTATCATACTAGACAAAAAGCTATCACAGCTATATGAGAAAGGAAGATGATTCAGGTCCACCACTGTATTCTTTCATAATTTCCTTTTTGGCTGTCATCTCTCACAAAAGCTGCATCACTAGACACTTTTCAGAGCCTCCTCATACAAAATAAAGATTTTGACATTCCCTGCTGACCATAGGAGAAACAGAAACAAGATCTGCAATTTACAACTGCTTTTTAAAAATCAAAGGTTAAGGCTTAAAAGCTAGCTGAAACATGATTTTATCTATACTGCTACTCCACTAAGGTCCTTCTAAAAATTTCAGTCCAGACCTCTAAAACAGGAGCTGTACCCTCTATTTTACTTCTGCTAAATCATTAGAAAGTTTTTTTGCAATCAGTCTTTTAGGTTTTACCCTTGTCTAAAACATTAACATAAACTCATATAAATATATGATATTTACATACTTAGAAAATATACAAATATCCATCAGAAAATCGACCACTTGTTACCACTAAAATATTTTTTCTCCTAAGCTCCAATACAAGCACTAGTTTATTATTAATCCTTAGGTAGACTGCTTCAAAGCATGGGAACAAAGGGTCTGAACCAAATAGTTTGAATACTGTTACATGCTAATAGCTTTCCAAAAGCTTGCAACAGAATGCAGACAAGCGACATCTTGGACCTCTCATCTGTTTCTTATAGCTGTTACTGAAATACAAAACCAATTAGGACTACTTGAAGGTTTTTTCAAACTCAAATTTCAAAATGTTTATATGCAAAGCATGTATTGCAAGCAATGCAAAAATTTCTGTACAACTTCATATAAGATTTAGGACTGTAACTTCAGGCTCAGCACCTGATGGAGATTTTCTGTCACCAAGTAGAGGTTTCAGTGGACATGTTATTCCCCAGTTCTTGGAAATATTACCTTAACATAAGTTTAAAAACATCAAAGAAGTGGTTTTCATCACAATATAAAAAAATTAATACAGAACTTGAATCCAAACTTAGCTTTCATTCAAGAGATTAAGTGTCACTGCATGGCTTTTGAAAGACTATGCTTCAAGTTCCCTAAAAGATATCTTTTTAATCTGTTCAGCTGAAGCACTTTATGTGGTTTACCACTCATGTTAGTATCACTAGCTATTCAGTTTTGTGCTACATAAAATCAAACAAGACAAGAAGTTGTATAATTCCACAGTTGAGCTCAATCGAATTTGTCAAGTGTTTGTTCAGTGCTTCACGCTTATCCCAGATGAACTGAAGAAGTCATGTTTCACAGTAAGGAGGCCAAAACCAATAATCCTTCAGAGCACTTACCACAACATCAGTTCAAGATTGACATGTGGTCTTGCCAGATTGTCTCACATCTACAAAGTCCCTTTCTCAAACTCTTTAGTAGCTAAAGTATCATCAGCATCTAGTTTCTAACAAACCACAGGATATTCTATTCAGTAACACTAACTTAGCATTCTCCCTGTGAACTTTGTTCCAGATAAACCCACATCCTGTTGTGGTTTTTTTTTTTTTCCCCCACCTTGTACCTTGTATAAATATTTGCACCTATATGAAGTGTGTAACAGTGCTAAGCACTTGGTGGCATTTTCCATCTACCAAGAGAAGCATAAAAGGCAGACGAAAAACACATTCCTAGACTGTGGTTACAGGCTGGGGAGGCAGAAAAGAAAAAAGAGATTTGATAAAGTCAGAGACATGCTGTAATGATTTACAAGCAAGTGTAAATCAGAGATTAGCAATGCTTGATTAACAAAGAGCGTATTTCTTATAAAATTGAATAGTAAAAACACAGGAAAGTGAACCAAACTCAGGCCACAAAGCTTAAACCAGCTAATCACAACCTTAAGCTCGCCACTTTGAAGAGGTAAGAAAAGCATTTAGAGGCTAACTAGAGCCCAGTGGTTTTATTGCTTAGAATGCCTATGTAGCCATCTTAATGGATTTAACTATCACATAAGTAAAATTCTAGGAATAAAACACCACTGACAATAAATCAAATATTGGCATGAGGAAAACAGTAAAACCTTTTGGAAGAACATTCCAGATTGGTGTTTGGTTTTTAAAGCATCTTTATAAATCAGGTGAGGCTACCTTCACTCTATGATTGTTGTGATTAAAAAGAAAACAAACTTAGTAAGTTCTTGCTGGATAAGCAGACTTTGACATTCCTACTTGTTTATCATAGCCTTCCTGTAGAAGGTTCCCTTGACAGATGGAAAAAGGATCACAGAAACTATGTTAACTTACTAAGCTGTCCCTTACGCTAGCCAGTACTGTCTTAATTTTCTTCCACTCCTTTTCTGTAGTCACTTATTTTCCTGACACAAATAAACTATCACCTAAAATGAATATATGATACCATTTCAATTGGAAAGAAAACTGAGGAAAGTATTTTCACATAGCAAGAACAGATCACAGCAAGTATAAGCAGGAGAAAAGTGTGATCTGGGAAGACCTTTTTTACCTAAATGGGAGAAGAAGGCAAATAGCAAAGTGATACTTATGATGGTATGACCTCCCCTCTCCAACTAGTCAGGAGGGCACCCTCCATTTACTATCATTCAGTACTTGCTAGAATTCTCAGATAAGCAACCATTCTATCAGCTAAATGAACAACACCGAGTCTTACCTTTCCTAAGGTACTTTATGTTTATGGAGAGCAACTCGATCACACACTATAGAGTAAAGTAGCTATATACTACAGTCCAGCTTGAATAATGCTCTCCCAATTGCTGACCAGTGCAGGAATTTTCACCTTTTTTTAGTTAACCATACCCAATTTCCACATGTTACACCACCTCCTTTATGTTTTAAATGCCACTCAGCATTCATTCTGTACCCTTAAGGCAACTTCAGCAATAGCCTATGAAACAAATAACAATTGGAAAAAGTTTACTATATAATCAGAGCTTTTTCAGGCTAAAACCAGCTGCTGGACAGAAACTCCAGCACCTGAAACAGAGACAGACAACTCTTCAAAATCCAACGAGTTCTCTCTGACAATGCAATACCGCAGATA